TTGTTTCATTAATCGAAAAATATAACGCATTTACTTTTGTATTTGTGGTATCTCACATATATTCCCGTTGAAGTCATATACTCGTTTTAATGTTTCGATAACGTTACTCATTTCCTCGCAAGGCATCGGCGCACAATCGTGCAATACTTGTATCATTTTCAGCAAGTCTTTAATGATATAAGGTCTATTCGGCACGTTGCCTATTGTTGCTAAATCAACATACATATTAAATTTCTTTAACGCCTTTTTTATCTTAGCCTTATCCTCTGGTTTCTTCACTAAAGTCTATACCCAAAACAAATCAAACATTATATTATCATTAAAATATACGATTAAAAAATTGCACAAATTGCACAGGTCTGCATTTTTGCTACTTGGAAAAAAATAGCAGTTTTCCATAATTTTTTATGTGCTGAATCCAAATCCATAAAAGAAAATATTCTATCATATTAGGTTTTGAGAAAAATAAAGTTGAAACACATTTTTTATTATTTTTGAAAATTCATAATGAACTCAATATTTGACATTTTGAAAAGAGCACAAATTAATACTTGAATATACGTTATGCTTTAATATAAAAATATATCGATAAAAAGTGACTTTACTATTTACTTTAATATAAAAATATTTTCAACATCATTTTTCGCAAAAGCTTGACGTGATAGAACAGTTTCACTTATGGATTCAGCACATCAAAAACTATAGGAAACAACTTTCCTCTTTTCCAAATAGCACAAAAAAAAATCCAAAGTTTGCAGACCTGTGTTGTTATTAATTAAAGTTATTATTTATTATACTTGGTATGACTGTAATTCAACATATAAAGGCCAATCTTCCTGGCAAGGTATGCAATCACAGATGAAATAATACTGTTTGAATAGTTTCTGTTGCCTCTGTGCTTTTGACATGACGGCATAATGTTTGCCGTAATTGTCTAATAACTGTAACGAGATAACATATATTACAATAAATCAACAATTTATACAATATAAATAACTTAATACCTGCTCGCCCTTTTCAATAGGATACATGGCATATATCACTATATGCTCAGGTCTCGAGTGTCTCAATATATTTGGATCGCAGCCATGATTAATTAAGCTAAAAAATGGCATAGCGGCTATACCACGTTCTAGATGTTCTAAACCTTGCGTTTCACCAAACTGCAAATATCAGATTTAAATTAACCAAAATTTTAAAAGAAACAAATGTTAAAAAATCATTGACATATCGGAGAACGATGTAAAAAACAATAAATATGGCACATAATATCAATAGAGTGTATTAGAATACATAGATATCATACGCTGTGCATATTACTGGGGATTATTTGTTGATGTCTTAAAATAAGACTACCAATAAATGTAACATCGTTGTTTTTCGCCAGTCCGCTTAAATCCTCTGGTAATTTAGCACCAAATATCACAGTACGCGTCGCTAAAAAATATACAATAAAAGAAGTATCAAAAGATCTCTTAAAGAGATCAGAGACGGATCTTTTCTCGGTATTTGTCACGAGACTATATACGCCAATGTATCTATTGCTATGTAACTTTCCATCTTGAGAAAAACCTTTTGTTCGTGGATCTGAAAAAATGACATGTACAAATCATTTCATTATTTAAGAAACAAAGTTTAAATGTTATATAAGTTATAAAAAAGTATAAATACCATCGTGTTCGTCAACTTCTTTTACCATTGTTTTTAATTTCTCAATACCACCAGCTTCTCTTAAAGCAAGCACAGCAAGCCTTATGCTACACAAATCGAGGTTGTAAATAGAATATTCAAGCACAGCAGGGAAGACAACACATTCTATATTATGACATTTCTCCCATTCGATATTTCTACACTCTTCTGAACAATACATAGCATAAGTGCAATAATTACAGGGTATGTTTGCCCAACACACTCTTAAACAATTAGAACAATGCGTTTGCATATTTTCTTGCACTAATATTAATGCATAAGGTTTCTCCACAGCAATTATTTCCCCTGGGTGAATTTTACGAGTAGCAACAATATGTCTGCCGTAACGCTCATTATATTTTATAGCTACTGCATCTGAAGCACAAGGAACTTCATTATTGTAAGATTTAATAATAGGAAGAGCAGGAGTTTCTTCTGTTTTCACTTTTGTATTCTTATTTACTTTTGTCTGCGTAATCTTATTGTGCAAAACATCAAGCTTTGCTGTAAATCTTTCTCGACTTGTATCATTTATAGACATCTTCTCCAGCCAGTGCTGTGCCTCCTTAAGTGTGTCTTCTACAGAATGATTTCCCATAATCATTAAACATTCTGTTTTACGCAGATAAAGCTTTACTCTTAGATTATCAGGATAATTTAGGGCTAGGGCTCTGTCAATATCCTGAATGCATTCTGAATACAAGCCTAATTTAAATAAAACTGCTGACCTATTAGCATAACTACGAGCAAGTTGTTCAGATGGATAAGGTGCAAAGGCTATACTCTTTGTATATAATTTCAAAGCATCAATACATATCGTGTTATTCAAGATGCCTGTGACAAAAACTTTATTGCCTTCTTCCCGCAATTTCTCAGATTCTTTGGCATTTTTTGGCATACCAGTTGCACTAGGAACTATATCATATTGTTGCATTAGATTTAGAGTAAATACTATACGTTCCTGATCAGTCTTTAATTTCTTAAATTGATTTGACACTTCAATATGCTTGCCTGCTGCAATCAATCTGGCATTGAACATATTTTGTATTTTATCCATTTTATTTTCTTAAAAATGCTTTATTATATCACTGTAATATTATTTATCACTAATACTTTTACGTAGGGCAGAATCTAAAAAAAAAGGACGTTCAATTTTTTAATAATCAGCACTATGTAAAATGACATCGTTTGTTTTAAAATTTCAGATTAGTCTATAAGTGAGAGAGAATTTAATCCACGTTTTGAATTATTTATATTTTATGTGTAAAATTATTTTTATTTGTAATTAATTTTAAACTAAACATGCTTAATCATAAAATAGTAATTTTCATTAGAAATTAAAAGATACATATATTTAGAATATTTCCTTAGTATTTCTAATGTTTTTTTTGAATATTTTCGTTCGTTCTTACATCTAGATCAGTTTAACCCCAATACAAGGACTTATGGATTGAACATAATTTGATACTAATATTTGCATCAAATAGACGTTCAATTTTTCATCTAACTTATAAGTTTTTCCTATTAAATATTGCTTATTACATTGTAATAATATGTATATTATTTCGAAATAATTTATAATACTTCTTTTTATTTTGTTATTGTTTGCCGGTATTCAAAAAAAAGAACATCTATGCACAACGGCTAGACAGGTGAGTCAACTTGTTGAATGTAACTCCATTCGAAAGCAACATTTCTACTGGCGATCTTACGATTGATTCATTCTAGACAGTAACAAACTCACTCGATTAAATTGCTAACAATTTTATAGAATATGAAACCACTTCTTTCTTTTTTATCAGAATTGCTGCTACGTAGATTCAGTTAGGATGAATTCTTGGACGCCCGCCAGTTTAGTAACAAAAGAATGTCTCTGATTTAGTAATTCTTTTTTTCTGCAACTAGCGATGATTTGGCAACACTCAAATATCTATATACAACGCGGGAAATTTGATTTAAACAGGGTATATTGTAACATGTAACATGTTGCATTAAAATAATTACGTTTGTTAAAATAATAGCAAGATAAAATTTCTTTCAGAATAAACAACGATTTTCTATTTCATCCCTGTTACAAGGTTGCAACAATATTGCTGCATGATTTTGTATTGTATTTGATAAATTTTAACATTAATTCTTATTGAATAATATTCATCAAGAAAAGATATTAATAGATTAAATATATACATCTCTCAAGTTTTTTGCGAATCTTATAAAATTTTTAATAAAATTTCTGTATAATTTTTAAGTCTATTAAAAAAGGTCTGCACGTAAATTTTTTCGCGCAGTCTCGGTACCGCAATAGTTAGAAGTATTATGTACACTTACGTCGTCAAGACGACGCATCGACTTACTTGCTTTAGTAAGGCGTACGTGTACTTATTCGATACATGTATCGCTGACAATAATTGTCGAACAAAGATCGCTTCTGTAAAAATGTCTTTGCATTCAACACCCATCCTGTATTTAAATATGGGCGGCGAGATGTTGTACGTTTTGCGACAAAGACTGAAGGCACAAAAGATCGATGTCGACAAGACAGTACAAGGTGAAGATACACTCGAAAGTATACTTTCGAATATATTTCGAAAATATATTTCATAAATATTTTGCTAATATTTTTGTACAAATGATATAATTTATAATTTCACTGGTAATCTTTTATAGCAACACACATGATAATCTTTTACACAATTACACAGTATTATTTTTAGACAATTTTTAAATAGAAAATATTATATATATGCAGTATTATGTTTAAACAATTTTTTAATAAAAAATTTACAATTTTTAAGATCTCATTAAAATTACGTACATCCAATCTGGATCAAAATACTATGACAGATATAAATATTACATACACATATTATTTTTTAGAAAGATTCTTTGATATTTTAAAATTGATGAAAATTATTTTTATATTGTCAAAATAAAATATATTGCATTAAAAAAACATTTTTTTTATATTTAAACTAATATAAGACTAGTTTAATTACAGTATTAGATGACGTAACAGCCGCTTTGCTCAATCCTAAAATACTATCGCCGATTTTCGAAGATTCGCCGATGATCGGAATATCGGAGTTACGCACCACTTTGGAAAGCGTCGCTCTTTCATCCATCATGAAACTAGACAGAAGTAGCATGGACAAATTATTTGATCTAATGATCATGATGGTGAAGTATCAATTAAGGGTGGCTACTGGACCTAGAGAAATCATTCTCATCACTCTGAATCACATAGACGGAATGCGCGACATAGTCAACAATGTAAATGCACAAAAGTGCGTCAACATGGTGCATCAGATGGTTGTTAGCGTGAGTATATAACTCAGTATAATCAATTTAACAATATTCAATTCAACGAGGATTTTTGTCCACTTTTCAAAACGTAGTTTTATGGCTGCCTGACTTTCGAAGAAGTCTGGAATGTGCGGGAGAGTTGTCTGAAAGAATTGGAACCGTATCATGTGCGAGTTTCAATCCTTCTGCGACGCGGTTTACAAAATGATGACGCCAGCTTTAACGTAATACCTCAAAAATACGATGAGAAATACGTAGAGCACGGAAACATTCTAGCCATCATGAGGATTAAAGATGTGAGTCCTGATACGTGTTGCGGAGGATCCTTCGATATCTTTGGTGATAGAAAGACGTTATTAGGCAAAAATATGTAAGAAAACATACAATAAAAAAAATACACGTATGCCGATCACATATATAGAAGGGTATAGAAATTATTTATTTTTTTATATAGATACTTGCCAACATATGGCCTAACGGAGGGCGCAATGCGAGACAGCCAACAGTTCGTAAGAGACTGCGGCACGAAAGCAGAATTAGGCATGCTGGCTGTTCAGTTGGGAACTGAGGAAACTAATTACGAGAGACCATTTACGCTTAATTTATTGTCAAACATGGACGAAGAGACTGTAAATAATGTAAATAAGGAAACTGACATCGAAGGAAATAACGCTAAACGAAATAATGCAGAAAATGGAAAGCCAAAATTGAACGAAGATTACAAAGCCAAACTTGATACTGTATATGCGGATTTTTTCGAGGACGAGCATGAAGGTTTGAAACGCAGTATGGACTTGCTCGATCTTCTCGACGAGATCGAATGATAAAATTTTAACTGAGACATATAACGCATTGCAATTATTTTTCCTATATTTTCTGGCATATTTATACACTGATATTTCTAGAAATAAATATATTCTCATATGAAAAATTATTCTATTTTACAAGACAGTATTTTAATTTGCTTCAATCTTATCAAAAGTATAAGGAAAACAATATGTACATATTGCACAATCCTAAGATAATAATTTTAAATGCTATCAAATCCACTGATAGGAATGAAAAAGTAGTAAATGTATAAAAAACGTTTTAAGATTCTGTTAAATCTAAAATATACTTTACGCCCTTTCGACCGTCGAAACTGAGTGCTTTAGCAATAGCTTCTTGATATTCACGGAAAGGCACCAATTTATATGGTGGCGGTTGCAATTTCTTATCTATAAAGAAACCTGCTAAATTCTTAAACATATCCAATCTCTCCTGTGAATTCATATTTGTTTTTGTCCAGGTTGTCATCCAAAATCCTTTGAATGATATGTCCTGAAATTATATAAATTGTCCTAATTAAACTTGACAAATTTTTTACAATTTTTAATTACAAATGGAATGTTGATTACCTTAAATATAAGTGCGGATATTGGTACAGTTAATGGTTCTCTAGACATACCGCCGTAAGTCACCATAATACCACCATGGGCAAGATGTCTCACTATTTCAGTTGCGTTCTGTCCACCGATACAATTAAGAGCTAATTTCGGTGCAGGTAACTTTTTATTTTTAAACAACTGTGTATTTCGGACTTCCTCCTCGGTTAGCACTTCGTCTGCTCCTAAGCTCGTCAATTGATTCTAAATAATTTATATTTTTAAATAATATTATAGATGTATTCTTAATTCTTTGTTGACAATATGTAATTTTGCATCTTCCATCAGCAGCCTGAGACTTTAAACTTCAGTGCAGATTTTTTACAATGTTCTGAATTATATAAAAATCTGAAAAAATTCTTACATACTCTCTTGTGAAAGTTTTAACGAATTTTTATTATCTCTACATTTCTTATTTTACTTCATGGAAACCGAGTAAGTGAAAAGTATCATAATAATTTACGAAATCGCAGTAGTTATGCTTATCATTTAAAAATTAAGTTCAGAGTTGAATCAATTCTCTAAATTAGTTTTTAAATGATCAAAATATATATACCTGACAGCGATTTCATAATTATATAAAAAATTTTATTAACTTTATTTTTCACACAATACATATAACGCATCAATTTTTTCTTAAGTGTAACATCATTATTACGATATAATTTTCGATTTCTATGAAGAAAAATACATTAAAAAATGTAAAAATAAAACGATCTCCGAATGATCAAAAGGCTGTACTCTCCTCTATCAAAATTCATAATAAAAAAGTCAACTGTACCTTCAAAGTCCCACAATGCCAGAGGCATAATATTGTATATATATTCACAATATTGTACATATTATATTTATATAGTAAATTAAAAAAAACTATTAATATTATACCTTTAACTCTTGTATGTTTGGTCTATCTCTAACAACATTGACAGACTTATAATTCCATATTTTACATAATTGAATAACCAGTTGACCAACCGCAGAATTGCCACCGTTTTGAATCACAGTATCTCCAGACTTTAATGGAACAAAATCCTTCAACATTCTGTATGCTGTACATGGATTCACATTTAGCATACTGGCTACAACTAGATCAATATCATTCGGTATCTATAAAATCAGACTAAGAAATAACACATGCAACAAATATATTGTCAAACCTGAGACACAATAAAAAAATACAGACCATAGGATCAAAGAATAACAGATTTTAACCTATCAGAAATTATATAAGTGATTTCTAATAGGATCAGAATAATTTCTGATGGATTGAAATGTTATTTCCTGTTGCCTGTGTCTTTCAATTATGCATCAAGCTTTATAAAATGATATAATAATATACATACCTTCATAACATCCTTAGAATCGTAATTAGCTTGTGTTCTCCAGATTCCAAAATTAGAACCGTTTGGTACCACTCTGTCTCCGACATGCAAACCTTGAACATTAGACCCAATTGCTATTATTTCTCCAACCCCCTCATTTCCTGGTACTGCTGGCAGAGGAGGCCTGCTAGGATATTTTCCTTGTATTGTATTTATATCGGCTGGATTTACTGGGGATAGTAGCCATTTCACAGATACCTACATCCATAAAAACTCAATTAAATTTTATGATTAAAATTTCATGATAAAAGACAAACTTTAATTGCAATAATAATTACTTGTTCGCCTATTGGCTGTTCTATTGTTTGCGTTATTACTTGAAGAACTTTAACGGGATCGCCGTATTCCTTGTATAATAGAGACTTTACGCAGTCAGTGTTAATTGCAGCACTCATTTTTCGAATATTCGTTAAGTTACTTTTAACTGATCGTGAGATCGATAAAGTTAATTGGCTCGTAAACATAATTGTTTCGATGAATTATGACTTCGACGTTATGATATTCGTGTTGAAAATTTCGGACCCAAACTTACTATATAGGTTATGTTATTATCTTGAAATAGCATTGAAGATTTATTCCCCCCCCCCCTAATTCATTGCTACGATTCTCGAAACTATATTTCGATATGTTCAATATTACGATTTTTGAAAGTGCGCAAATCTCGATTTGTCTACTAGTTTTAAAACAACGAATCTATAATATAAGAATATATGTATTTAAAATAATAATGTAAGAATAATGATTAAGATGATTAATTAAGATAATCAATGTTCTACCAATGTAATATTAACTTTAATCTCGATTCAACTTTTTATCTTCTAATTTTTAGAAAAAGAAACTAAATTCAATTGAGATAAAAATTATTCTTACATTGATGGAATTAGGCCTAAGATAATTATTAATTAATGATGATTAAGAATAATGATGTAAGAATGTGTTCTTATATCTTAAACGCCATGATATAAAAATTATAAAACGGATCTGATGACGGCCATGCTCACAATTAATCTCGATGTTATACAGTATTTTTGTTTTATTTTTTACTGTAAGCTGATTAGAATGTATTATAAATTCCTTTCATTTGAGTATTAATTCGTCGACGAGACGAATTTATATTTTTGTCCCGTTGTATAAATTTATTTCCGTCACATCGAGAATGTTGCTTTCTTTCTATTTGTTTTCTTCGATTTCACTTTCTTATAAAAAAAATGCAATTAAACAATAATTCATGCTTTTCGTGTTCCGCATTGCGAATTATAATTAAAAACATGAACGATATAAATTGTATATTTTATTAAAATTTACAACTTTGACTTTACGTATAATGCTTACGTATAGGCACATTTTGTTATCTATTTCAAATCATCATGTTCTTTCTCTGTTAGTATATCGTTTATACTATTACACCATTTGCAAATATAAAATGTAACTACATGTGATACTAAGAATTTTTTAAGCTGTACGTCATGCTGTGGACAATTTAACCAACGTAAATCCATTTGTATATACAATTCGGTTTCTAACATTAACGCCGCATGATGCACATAACAGACGCCGCTCATTTTTGACGTTAATAGATCTTCAGCACTCCTAAATGTTTCTATCAAATCGTTACTACTAACCAATTCAGATTTTGTAATATCTGCCAGGAGATTCTTACATGTGTCGCATCCTTTGATTCGTGAATTATTTAGGATTTTTGCCGCAATAAAATTGCAAATGTTAAGATAATCGTGTGTTGCATCTAAAGGTCTCTCCAAATCTAACATCAAATCGTCATTGTATCTACTTTCTATCTTACGATTAAGAAACTCTTTTAACGTAAACAACAACGATCCGTCTATTTTATTCTCACTATTATTCTCCACAGTACGAGGTGACGTTAAATTGTTGATTAGCAACGTTTTAAAAGAACTTTCGAATTCTGCACACGTGGGATTGGTATTCCTTATGCCGAAAGATCTAATTTGCCCGAAAAAATGTTGAAGGGAATCCAAATTCAAAATTCGAGGCTTCAAGCATTTGAATTCGTATGCTTTCAAAATTATCCACAATTTGCGTAATCCCCCTATAGTAGAAATCCAATTTTTCAAAACATTCGAATCTCTTATTTGATTCTTATCTTTTCGATCGACAAATCGCATTCTTTGTAGTCTCTTTACTGCCCTCTCCCAAAATGGAAAATGTGGACTGTTGTGCGAAATGGCAACTCTTAACGGTTTCTCCGGCTTTAACGTATGTCCATTAACAGAATCAAACAATCGGTCAAAGAAAAGTATTATCTCTGCTGTATCCCGTCCTTTCTTTTCTGGCATTTTTAATGGTCCATACACTGTATTCACGTGCCCTAAAAAAAGCACATACACATGAAAAATAAATGTAATTAATATATAATCACATAATTTAAATCTTATTAATAACGTTTTCGACTGCGTGGATTTGAATCGATCCAAGATTGATTAATGGCATCACATGCTCTACTTTAGGTTTTTAATTTGACGAATTTTTGGCATTTCCAGGTTAATCGATCTCGGATCGGTTTAAATCCATTGCAATCTGCAACAATATTATAAATATGTAATAATTACATACGGAATTGTATCTTATTAAATTTGTATAAATATATACCTTCTAGTTTGGTATGGTGATGTATAAATCCGCCCATCGTCATACTCAAAACCTGAGCAGCATTTTTAACTTTTTTTTTCTTTATTTTATTTTTTATTACAT